TAGTTTGATGGTATTTATAAATCCCTTCCCCATCCACTCCTTCCCCCGCTACCCCCTCCCAGTTTAATGTACTCTCGTGTGTGTGTGTGTATGTGTGTGTGTGTGTGTGTGTGTGTGTGTGTGTGTGTCTGTGTGATCCTTTGAGATTGCTCTGGACTTTTAAGAGTATATGATCTTTTTCTGAGTAGAACTTCATAATTTTGTTCATTCCATGAAATATATTTAGTGCCTGGGCTCCTAAAGGAATTGTGCTAGAAGCAAGGAAAATATAAATACAACCAAAATTTCTCCTTTCAAAGACCTCCCAGTACAAACAGATAGCTCTCTGTGGAGAAAATACAATCAGCACATAGAGAGGTAAGAGAGGAGGGATGGCAAGTGCTGAGAAGCAGTCACGGGGGAAGTGAGAGGAAGGCGACTTCATGTTATCTGTTCCAAGAAAGATATCAAACTTTCCTGTGATGATGTCACTCAGTTTACACTCACGCATTTCTAGTCACGGGAAGTTAATTTATCAAGTCATCTGATTCCTGCTGCTTTGTCTCTTACTGAAGGAAAATAACTTTTTTCTGCTGAGCTAAAATTTATCTCTTCCAAACTTTCACTGATGGGTCTAATTCTTTCCTCCTTAGTACAGAGGATAAACATCTTCCTGCTGGTCCCTGACACATCTCTGCAGCCAGGCACAGTGATGCTGCACATCTGGAAGCCAGCAATCAGTAAGCTGAGGCAGGAAGAGTTCATATGGATCAGTGTGGGCTATATTGCAAGATCTTGTTTAAAAAAAAAAAATCAGACAAACATCAAACCTCAAACCACACACTGGATATTTTCTTAAGGTCCACACTTTCTAATTAAACGTGAGGAAGTCTATGCACTGTATATGATTTCTAGATCCTTCATAGTCCTTCATGTTTCATTTCTTACTTGATACAGCACCAAAAACTGAAGATATTCTCGGGCTGCCAGACCAGTGAACACTATGTAACTAGCCCCTCCTTTGTTCTAGACAATGTGATTCTGTTAACGTAGCTTAAGTATGTTTTTGATATCTTAAAATAAAACTCTTGGCTGTTAGTATTTTCTTTATAAATAACTTATGACCAACCCTCACTCTCATCCTGACCTCCTACCTTGGAAATTTTAGTATAATAATTATCTGGGATCTCCTTCATCCTACTCAGAATTTTGCACCTAGCATTCCAGCCTTATTGATTCCTATCTTCTTCTGTGCTGTTCATTTTGACCTCTTCTTGGAGTTCTCTGTGAACTTTGATATTATGAACTTTGATCTGGCAAAGTTTATATTTTCCCCCACTTTTAATATCTGCAGATAAGAATGTTATCTATTTTCACTCAAGGCTTTATTAAATAAATAGGACAGGAGGACAAGAACAGAGCTCTTGGGCAAGCCATGGGGGCCCATTCATTGCATGGTGTGCAAAGCACCTTCTCCCTCACAGGCAGCCTTGTGCCTTGCTCTGGAGGGAATGTGGGGGCAGGAAGAGCATGGCATGCCTGCCCATTGATAGTAGTGAGCCTGACCCCAGCAGAGCCCACGGTGGCTTGTTGCCAGGTTTTCTTTCAGGGAAAGGAGTTCACATTATGCCATGTGTAGAAAGTCATTGTTGTGAATGGCAGTTCCATGGTGTTTTACTTCCTCACACTCATGGTCTCATATATATGAAATGGTAAGGGATAGGATGTCAAGAAAGATTTGGCGCTCTGGCAGAATCTAAAGCAGATATTCTGTTGTTGAAATTCAAGATGGACTGGAGCTAGTGAAGTGACTGGAAAGTGGAAGGGACAAGACTGTCGGTGGAGATGACAGAAATGGAGAGGAAGGGATAGTTCCTCCAAGGAAAACTGGAAGCTGCACAGAGAAACAGTAGGGCTTTGTAACTCAGAACTGATTTGGGGAGGAAGGAGAAGAATGAAATCAAGCTCCCAGGTTTTAAGTCTGGGAGAGTGATGGTGCAGTGGATGGAAACAGGCAATTAGTAAGCACCTCAGCTTAGGGTGGGAGGCTAGTTTTATTGGTCCTGTGCTTGGCTTGATGGCCGTGAGAGACAAAGTAGCAGGCAGATGTGGGCCAAAAACTGAAGAGTCATTATTCTGAGTACAAAGAAAGGTTTTCTGGGGTTGAAAATCAAGCAGAAACCTTAGTGGCCTCCACTGTGGCAGAACTGAGGGGGTTACTCCAGCTGCCAGCACCCCTGGATTTTCTAGTACAAAGGTGGATCGTTGCAAGAGTGCATTCTTCCCGTTGAATCATTTAACTTTGCAGATCCATTTCAGATGTTGCAAATGGTACATGTGGTTAGGAAAATCTTGGACAGGGAGATTGGCTAAGATGAAATATGTCCCAATCATAGAATGAGTCGCTGGAGTAAAATCTTGGCTATGCTATTTAACCATCAGCAAATCTTCTGCCAAAGCTGTCTACCTACTTCTGAGTAGAACAGCGTTGCTATGTTTTCTTTCAATGAATACTCAATTTGAAATATTATTCATTATTTTTTATCTTATGTATATAAGCGTATTGCCTGCATGTACGTATGTAAGTGCACCTGTATTATGCAGTGCCCACAGAGGTCAGAAGAGGGCATCAAATTCCCCCAGGACTGCAGTTACAGAAGGTTGTTAGCACCATGTGGGGGTTGAGAATTGAACCGGGACTTCTGCAAGAGCAGCCAGTACTCTTAACTGCTGAGCCATCTCTCTAGCTTGGATACTCAATTTGTAGGCCTTCCACTCCACACAGAAAAAAATGAGTGCAAAGAGAGAAAGAAAGACTATGAACTGGCTCCATTGATCAGCTTTTGGAGAAACCCTATTACTCAGTACCTGATCATCCTCTTCCTACCACACATATGTTAAGCACCTGCTCATACTTATGTTAAAAGTACACAAACAGAGCACATGTCGCATGGGCTATCCTCTCCAGGCATGTAGACCCTACATAAGGAGACAAAAATAGAGTGTAATGACCAGATAAATGTTTAAATGATTCTTCTGCAGTTACATGAGCAAAGGCATCAGTCAATCTGTTTTATCAAGATACAAAATCGCCTTGAACTTTTTTTTCTAAGAACAAAAACTTGCCTGTCCAACCATCACAACTGCTTCTGCCTTTCATTTTTCTTTATTTATTTGTGTGTGTGTGTGTGTGTGTGTGTGTGTGTGTGTGTGTGTGTACGCCCATAGGTCGTTCTTGCCCTCCACTTTATTGAGACAGACTCTACCCTACCTGGCCTGTGAGCTTCCAGATTTTCCTATCCTCACTTCCCATCTCACTTTAGGAGTGCTGGGATTAAAGATGCATGCCGCCTCTTCCTGATTTTCATGTGAGTTCTGGGAATCAAACTCGGGTCCTCAGGCTTGCATGGCTAACACTTTTTACCAGCTGAGTCATCTCCCTCAGCCCTCTTCTCTCTCATCAGTTTTCAGCACCTCACCACCTTGATGGCTATGAGTCATACTTGTGAAAGGTGCTAAGGGTCAGCTGTGTGAATGATGCTGGTGAATCCTGTGTTCACAAGGTCTTTCTCTGCCTTTTGCTTTTTAACTGCTATGTTCTTCAGCTGTGACAGCTGCTCTTTTGTGTCTTCTTGCATACACTCTCAGTTGACCTCCCACTTCACTTGTAGTTGATTGTTTCAAAACATTTTCAAGTTGAGGGAAAAGTTAACCAGGATTGTCATAAATTGTGCGATGCCTCAGTGGATAGTTCTGAGTTTCTGTGAAGGGGAAGCACTACTACATTGTGGTGACATTGTGGTTCTGCTTCATTCGGAAGTGTTAGATTTGCTCACTTCTGCATTTTTGGCTGGGCCCCAGGAAGTTGAGGCTGATGAAATACTGATCTCTGGGTAGGAAAAGTTCTGTTGCTATATTCCCACAAGAGATTTTTAGGTTCTAAGTTAGGCTCTAATTTAAGAGTAGAAAGAAAAGTCTCACTTCTGGAAAGTGAAGCTATGATAAACATTCATGTAATCAACATGATAAAAATGTAACAATGTCGTAGTATAAATATAAAGATAGCCACTCCTATTTTGAAAGGTATGATGGTTTTAGGCAGGAAGTATCTATGCAAAAGGTTCATGGTTCAAGGCTTGGTCCCCAGATGGTGATGATTTGTTCATGGGTACACTAACTTCATCAATGAATCAATCCATTGATGAGTTCATAGCTGAATGGCTGTTAAGTGGCGTAACTGGAGGAAGTAAGTCACTGAGAACATACCCTTGAAGGATATATCTGGCCCCTGGACCTTTCTATCGCTGGCTTTCTCTGCTTCTTGGCTGTGATGCGGTGAGCTTTGCACCCTTCTGCCATGAATTACTGCCTCAGAAACAAAAGAAACCACTAATCGTGCACTGAACTCTCTGAAGCCATGAGCCAAACAAATCTTCCTCTTTGGATTTTCTCAGGTATTTTGTCACAGTGATTAAAACTCTGACTTACACAAATGCCCTCTGCGAACATGTGGGTGTACAGACACCATTTTGTTCCGTCTCCTGAGAACCATTTTCATATGGCAGAGCAAATCGGTGTTCATGCCACAGAACTAGAAACGATGTCACTGTCAAGACCTGGGAAAATGTCTGTTCCTACTGAGTTGGAGAAGAACTCTCAAGAGACCCAAGCACCGGAGGGTGAGCTACACAGATAACCTGTGGGAGGGACAGATAAGGAAAAGGGATACTTTTGAAGATCATGACTGTCTTCTATTACTGAAAGATCAAGAAGTGTCATGATTGGCTCTGAGCTTTGTCTACAGCTCCCGATGGATATATGTGGGTCCCTATCACCTTGCTGGTGGGTTGTTCCTATGTTAGGTGACTCATAGCTTTCTCTTCTTTATTTACTGCTGTAGTTCTAGGTAGGAACATTTGGCTGTATCTTGCTTCTGTAAGGCACATACTAGTACAAAGGAAAATTTTCAATATTTAAAATTTATGACAACCTCTAAAATAACTAGTTTAAAATGATACAGAAATTATTCTGTTAAAATCATTTATGCTGAGATCACGGTAGTATCTGTTCTTATCAGTTTAATAGTTGATAGGTCTTCTATCTGAGAACAATATATCAGGTAGATTTTTTTTAGTCAGTAATCAATTAGGAACTTGTTGCATCTACTGCACACATTGAGCTGGAATTGTAGTACCTCCAGGAACAGTGCACCCCCATGTAACAACAACAACAACAAAATGTCATTTAGGTTTCCTTTAAAATGTCAGCATTAAGGAGAATATGTTCTGTTTAAACTTTAAAGGAATGTTTGTGTTTTCTTTTAATTGTCTCTAGTGTAGCAGAGTTCCCAAGAGCCCTGAATTCCTACTTTAGACATGGTTAAACTAGAACCTAGACAGAATCATAGGCTCAGTGCCAGTCTGAGATATAGATAGCCACAGCTGTCCAGAAAGAGTAAGACCAGAGTTCAAGTAAGAAAAAGTTTGGTGGCAGAAGTCTAAGAGTCAAGTACAGAGCAGTCACTTACAAGAGGAGAATAAGTCCACACAAACAGATAAGGTCCCAGGATTCTACAGGACAGTGAGAATGGACGTTCCTGGACAAGCACCACCAAATACAAGTGTTCATGATGGCTTCTGCTTAGTTTTATGTTCTTAGTTGGCACAACTTGCTCTAGGGCCTCAGGACTGCCCCAGACACACAGAAGTCCAAAGATGGGTTAATGAGGCAAGAGCAGAGGCATGAGGATGGTTTCATCCCCGACCCTGTTGAAATGCTATGCTGGAAATGAATGAACCCATCTTTCTAAATTCATTGCTGATTTCTTCCATAAAATTATGAAATAGGTTGCAGTATTTGAGAAATTTTTTCCTTAACTGAAATGGTTTCAAGAAAGATGGGAGAATTCAGTTCTCTATCAGAATTCTGAAACTATCACAAGAAAACTTTCTTGAAAAATGTTCCCTTCAGGCAAATGGTTTTTAAGTTGATTTTGCAAAGGATTCTATAATCAATATGAGAAATGTAAAGCTGTTAGAGGAATGCTGTGGGCATTTTGCAACACATAGAAGCACCTTGTTCTTTGCTTGGAAGAAATAAATACTATGAAAAGAAACTAAAGTCAGGCATGGTGGCATGTGTCTTTAATCCCAGCCCTCAGGAGGCAGAGACAGGCAGATCTCTATAAGATTGAGGTCAGCCTGGTCCACTTGCAGGCAGACTGGGACTAGGGAGACCCTGTCAAAACAAAACAACAGCAACAAAAAAACCCAAACAAACAAACAAACAAAACAACAAATTAAAGCCAAATCTAGAAATCAATTAATCCCCCCACCCCCACCCCCACCCCCCGGTAAACACCTTAGCATACTTTCTAGAAAGCAGTACAGTCAGTGTCACCTGGTGATGTTGAAATGAAATGGATCTCAACTAAGGTCATCACTACTACAGTGATGATGGAGAAGGAGAGCCGAGTTTCTTGAGCACTGCTCTGTGTTCTGAATTTCTTTGCATTATATTGTTAACCCTCCCAGCTAATTCAGGAACCATTATCTTGACTTTACAGACTAGGAAGGCATGGATTTGAGAGGTTAAGCATCTTGCCCAATATCACATGCTCACTCCTAATATTAGAGTAGACCCAGGATCCAATGCTAAGTCTGTTTTTTTCCTTCCAAAACTAGACTCCTTGGCATTACAGCCCAACCCTTCCCCATCCTTCCTAAGAAAATCCCATTATATTTGAGGAAAGTTTTGTATTGAGCATACTTTAATAACTAACAGTTTGCTAAACTGAAATCGAAATCTTTGTCATGTGAATAAAAGAGACAGTTGATTCCTTTTATGCCCAAGAAGGAAATTTGGAAAGACATCCCTAGTTTAGTTCATGAAGTATTTCCTCACTTTTCTTAACCAATTTGACTTTAATCAGTCTCACAGAGTTTGGCTCTCAGAGGATTGATTAATACAAGGTGGGTTGGCAATTCATAGCCTTACCATGTTTGTCTCTGTTTCTTGTTTACTTTTTGGTTTTTTAAAAAATTATTTAAATGGGTGTAAGTATATTCTAATAATGTGGGAAGCAGGCTTGACTTGGGTGAGACACAGATTTCTAACCCCTAATCTATAAGAAAAAGGTTTGTTTACTACCAAAAGTGAAAAGGACAGCTCAGAGCTCCTTGCGAATCACGGAATTGTTTACCAATGCACAGTGATATATTTGGGGTGCCACAATTCAACCCACTTTGAAACTTTTTTTTGTATTTAATCCTAAGTGTTTTGTGTTTATGTCAATATTGTGAGTAGATGTTCTTTCTTTTGTTTCTGACTTTTGTTGCTAGTGTGTGAAATGCAATTGACTTGTGTGCTTTAGTCTTCTGTCTTTTGATCTTGCTGACTAATTAGCTCATGTCATTCTTATGAAGACACTTTTAGGGTTTTCCATGTATACAAGCCTTTCTGCTCTGTACAAGGCAAGGCTGCTTCACTTTTCTTTCCCCTCACATCTTTTTAAAAACTTAATTGAATTTTTTGTGTATTTCATACAGAACAGCTCAAACAATCTTAATCATCTTTATACCCTCGTCCCCCACTGGAACCCTTCCATAGCCCCCCACCGCCCACTGTAGCCCATATACTCTGTCATCCCTGTTAAGGCCCACTGGGTTGACAGTACCCCCAGCCATTCCCCAGTGCAAGTCCATCCACTGAGACTAGTCAGCCTATCTAGAGTCCCTTGTTTTAGGAAGATCAGCTCTTCTTCATCTAGCAGCAATCAGTTGCCAACATTCCTTCAGATAAGATTAGGGTCTGCTGTTCATTTTCCCAGTTCTATGCTGGGTTACTGTCTGCCTGAGTTTGCATGGGACTTATGTATGCTGACACCATTGCCGTAGAATCATATGAGCGGGTTCCCAGGAGCTTGTAGGACTCTATAAAAAATTTTAAAAATTTATTTACCTTTGAGAATTTCATACCTAATATTGTCTTTGCATTATTTCCACCCCTCCCAGCCCCTCACCAACTCATCCCATCCCCCCACTCCCTTTCAATTTCTTGCCCTCTTTTTTCATTATTATTATTACACATACATGCATATATTTATAAATACACACGCATTTATATAGAATACACTGAATCCATGTAGTGGTGCTTGTTTGTGTCTATGTTTAGGGATGCCCATTTGGTATTAGATAACCTTTCAGGGACCTAGTCCCTGGAGAAAACTTGTCTCCCTCCCTCAGCAGCCATTGGTTGCTTGTAACTCTTCACCTTGCCGTGGGACCCTATGACATTTCCTGCATTCACCTTGGCATGTCGACTAGTTTTGTCACTATGCAGATCTCATTAGTCTTCCATACTGTGAAGCTTCCCTGTCATGTCCAGAAAGCATTAACTAGCAGCAGGTGTCTTGTCCCTCTGGCTCTTACATTCTTTCCACCCTCTCTTCTTTGATGTTCTCTGAGCCTTAGATGTAGAGGTTACATAATTGATGTGTCACTTAGGGTTGGGCACCTCACAGACGCTTATTCTCTGCATTTGAACAGCCATGGAACTTTATAATAATCTCCATCTGTTGTAAAAAGATGCTTCTTTCATGAGTTACAAGAGGTACCCTTGTCTTCCTTTATTACAGGACTAAGATGCACACTGCAGTGTTAAATGAATTCAGCAAGAGCAGGTATTCTGGCTCTGTTGTCAGTTGCAAGAGAATTGTCTAAGATCAGTTTAAAGCCAATGATAGCTTCTTGTAGAACATCCTTTATCAGACTGAGACAATTTCCCTTTATTCCTATTGCTGAGAGATGCTACTGTTTTTATTTTACCAAATTATTTTATGCATATATTAAAATAAGCAAGTCATTTTCCCAGGTTTACAGAGTTACTAAGTGTGGCAGTCTTGGATTTTCAGTCTTTATCTAAATGCTCTCTTCATCCACTTCTTTTTTGATCTAATTAATTTTTTACATTTATTTATTTATTGTGTATGTGTTTAGGTATGTGCATGCCACAGTATAAGTGTGGCAGTTAGAGGACAATTCACAGGAATCAGTTCTTTCCTTCCACCATGTGGATCCCAGGGATTGGACTTAAAAGGTGGGATAGGATGTGGCAGCAAGCACCTTTACCCACTGAGCCATTTTCATCCATTTCTTGATTTCAATGGTACTTTTGTCAATTTAGTTTTCTATGAGATACTTAGTGGGTTTTTCCAAGTAACCTTTAAACTTGCTAGGCTAAAGCCTTCTGGTTTCCCTCCAGTTGAGTTTTATAATCTCTATAGGTTTAGGAAAAGTCCAAAGCATTCCCTGGACAAGAGTTCCACCCTTAGCATGAAATATTCAGAAGTGCCATAGAAATGGACTTTCATCTCCAGTCATGCCATGTAACTCCCTTCTGCCTTTCCCTCTTCACCATCAGCTTTTGTCCCCAGTGCTAGCATTCTTCTAATATCATATGCTACCATCACAGTTGTGGGTAATTCAGGGCATTATTGAGATAATTTGGGGCATTATTGTGATCCTACCAAAATGACATGGGGAAATCTAGAAGACATGACCATGGTAACTCAAGCATCTCCATACCTTGGTGTAAAGAGGGAGAGTGTAGGAGAGGAAGTGCCAGGCCTAAGCACAGGTTGCACTAGAAAACACAGCTTCCGCTTTGAGCAGCCCGCACTTCTGCAAAATAGCCAACCTACAATCTTCCTGGATGAGGGAATCCTGCCCAGATGAGGGGATCTATCAATAAGCGACACACCAACTTATGGAACACTGGGGGCGGGGGAGAGGGGTATATAAGGCTTGCACTTCCCAGCAATAAACGAGTCTGCAGCACCTTGCCTAGTGCCTGCTCTCACCCGACTCCCGGAGTCTGTGTGTTGATTCCGTACCACTCACCCCCACCTCAGCCAGAACCCTCGTTCCTTGCAGTCCCTTGTGGGCTGGACCCACGAGGAAACCTGCAACAGAAGAGCTGTCCTTACATCCTGTCTTAATTTTGTGTAGGTTACATATTGTTCCAGTTTGGAAAGAAAGGTCTGAGGACTAATTTATATGAGTCGTGTTCCTTCTTATTGTGGCTTGACATGAGCTATGTGAAATGCCAGATCCTCTGCAACTGCCATGAGACTTTTACCTTCAGTATCTTTTCTCTTTCAGCACAACAATGCCCTGTAGATCTATTGCTTAGGACTTTCAGGATTTTCCAAATTGAT